ATAAAAATGATAAAGATGAATATTCAAATAATAAAATACATTTAAATATAAAAGAATAACAAGAAGAAAATCTAAATAATATAAACATAAAAAACATAAAATAAGAATAATATAATAATATAATAATATATAGATAATAAGAATAACATAATAATATAAATAATATAAACATAGAAATAAATATAAAAATAAATATATAAAAATACGATAGATAAATAACATATAAAGAAAAGAATAAAAATAATAAAAATAATTAAATACGATTCATCAAATCATCTATTTCATTAATATTTCATACAAAATGAATATAAATGAATATAAAATATAAACATAAATATATACAGATTGTATATTTATCATACTTTTTATTTTTTATTTTTATTTTAGGAGCAAAATATAATAAATGGAAAATTCTATGGATGCAAATTATTTTGCATCTTTTTTCGTTTTGTAAATTATTTAGATGCATTTTTTCTTTGCTTATCTTGGTGCCAGAATATTGATTAAAAATTAAATTATTATATCAATTAAAATAAATAAACATATAAATTTGTATTGGAAATGATAAAAAAGAGAAGATGAAGATACAAATAAGTAGTAAAGAAGAAAATGAGAAATATTCAATTAGAATAAACCCAAATGTCATTACAATTGAAGGAGGATATGCATGTGAATTTGAAGTATTCATTATAATCAAATGTACAACTAAAATCAAAGATAAAATAATGATAATTAGTAAAACACTTAATAAAGCACAAGAAGAAACAATCAAAAGTATTTCTATTGAAGGAGAAACAGAAATATCAACACGACTTGATCCTGATGAAATAAAAGAAGAAAAGAAAATAGGAGAAGGATCATTTGGAGTTGTTTATGTTGGAGAATTTAGAGGAAATAAAGTAGCAATTAAGAAAATGAAACAAGTTGAAGAAAATGAAGATAAAAAGAAAGAATTTGAGAAAGAAGTAGCAATGTTAGATAAATTTCGAAATGAATATATTATTCAATTTTATGGAGCAGTATTTATTCCTAATAAAATATGTATGGTAACGGAATATGCAGAATATGGATCAATACAAGATATAATGAATAAAAGAAACATCACAGAAATATCAAAGAAAATAAGAATCAAATTTATGATAGATGGAGCAAAAGGAATTTCATATCTTCATTCAAATGGAATATTACATCGAGATATTAAACCAGATAATTTCCTTGTTGTATCACTTGATGATAATATTGAAGTTAATTGTAAATTAACTGATTTTGGAAGTGCAAGAAACATCAATATGATGATGACAAATATGACATTCACAAAAGGAATAGGAACACCAAAATACATGGCACCAGAAGTATTAAATCGAGAACATTACAAAATGCAATCAGATATATATTCATTTTCAATAACAATGTTACAAATCATTACATGGCAAGATCCATTTCCTAAAACATTATATCCACATCCATGGGATATTGCAGATACAATCACAATAGGTAAACGACCAAACATAATACAAGAAGTAGAAGAAGATATAAAAGAAATTATTGAAAAGTCATGGGAACAAGAACCAAAAGAAAGAATAACGATAGATGAAATTGTAAGAATGTTAGAGGGAATTGAAAGTAAAGAATAAATTAAAATACTCTTTATTTTTTTGCTTTAATCTTTTAATTAAAGAAATCAAATAATCAAAACTTAAATGTTTTTAAAGAATCAAGTGGGTTAAAATAATATCTCTTTAATTTCTTCTTTATTCTTCATATCAATGTATTAATCTTTCTTAATGGATTGATTTTTATTCTTCTGAATATTCATTTCTTATAATTTACTACTTTATTTCTTATCTAATTTATTTTATTTGTCTTATTATTCTTTCTCTTTATCTCATATTTAAATCATTAGATTTCTTCATATCTTTCTATTTCAATACATTCTTGTTATTCTTTCATGTTTCTTATTCATATCATCACTTCTCTCATTATTCACTTATTTATTAAAATAATTTCTTGTAAAGGTTATGAAAATGGCATTTCTTCTTATTGTATTGTTTCTTCTTGTATTGTAGTATTTATTTTTTGTATTATTCTCACTTATTTTATCATTCTTATTCATTATTTCTTTTCCTATTTCTTTCTTATATATTGTTAAATATTTAGAGTTGTTTTATTTGCGTTTTTCTTAGTTCTTTGATTGTCTCTTTGTTGTTTCTAATTAAAACAATTTCTCCCCTTTTCATTTCTCTATTCAATTTCTTGTTATGTTTTTTTCTCTTTTGAATGTCATTCTCTTTATTTGGATGTTGAGTTGTTGATAATAATTTGGTTAATGTAAATATAAATAACATCAGAAATGAGACATTGTTTCTTTGATTAATCAAATAATACTAAATTCTCAACAGATATACTGTTTCATTAATTACTTAAATTATTATGATTTTAATTTGAACATTGAATGTCAAAATTTTCAAATGAACATCTTCAGTGTTAAAAAATACAAATTTTCTTGAAAATACAATATTTATTGTATTTATCATTATTGTGAAAAAATAAACCAATGAATAATTAACTCATTCATATTTTTATTTTTTTTTTTGATTAACACATGTATAAAGAAAAAATATATTAAAGAAATGAAACAACATTTTTTATTATTCTTTGTTTTTCATTTATTCCATTATTATTATTGTTCATTTCATTATTTCATTCTTGATTCTTAAAAACTCATTATTCATGTTATTCTTTCTTTTATTTTTGTTAAATGTTAAAATATGATTTTATAACTCTTCACTGTATTTTTAATTTATATAATTCTATAAATTGATATGAATAACCATCACAAAGTTTTAATAACATCATCAACTTCTTATTATATTTTGATATTTATTATATTATTTCATTGAACATATTAAAATCATAATTTGATATTTGGAATATTCATTTATCAGTATATTAATCGTTATTTCATAAAGAAAATATAGATAGAAATATATTGAAAAGAATATGAAAAAGATTAATAATAATATCAATATAGAAAATCAAATGAAAATGAAACAAGAATATTTAATATGATATGTTAGAATTATTTGATTGAAATAATTGATTTAAAGAGATTAAAATAAATAAAAAATGTACAAACTTCACTTGTTCATTTTATTTCATATACACTTTTCTTTTCTCTCTTTTTGATTTAATATTTTTATTATTTTATCTCTGTTCTGACATTTTCATCATTATTTTTATTCTCTTTTTATTCTCTTATAGTTTTGTAATTTTTACTATATTTGAATATTGATATTAAAACATTCCTTCTATTTCTTTTTGTCTATATAAGCTTCTTATTCACCATTATTGTTATATTAATCTTTTTCATTTTTTGTTAGAATTTCATTTGATTTGATAGAATTTACTTCGTTTATTAATCATTATCATATTCATATGTAAAATATCATTAATTTCTTTTTCTATCAATTAACTAATTATTTTTATTCTTTCACATCTCTTTCTTATTATATTTTCAATTTAAGTTATATTTTAATTGTATTTGTATCATTTAAATTACATCTGGATAAAATTAAATGGAATAATTACATCAGTTATATTAATGTATTTGAATTGTATGATTATTTTTTGATGTATTAACATTGAAATATATTTTCTTATTCATTTTTAATTCTGGTAAAAATACATTTATTCTTCTGAAATATTAATTGATATTATTTGATTTTATAATTTGATTTTTAAATAATTAACTGTTGTTCATTTTAAATTAGAAAATGTTTATGAAATATAAAAATAATACCAAATGAATAAGAAATTCTATTTAATAATTATTTATTGATAATATTCATTTATCAATTGTTTATTAATATTATCTCTTGTATATTCAATTGATAATTAATATTTTATTCATTTTATTGTTTTAAAATATTTAAAACATTTTAAAAATTGTATTTTGAGAATTATTAAATAATTAATGAATTATTAATTAATACAAATCAAATGTAATAGTAATTATGAAATATAAAAAAGATATGAAGAGATGGAAAATGAAATATTTAATAATAATAGAATTGATCATTATTATTAATGAATTTCATCAACATTGTTATTCATTTGTTTATAAAATAAAATAAGTCAAATGATACAATATAGAAGTGTTTATGATATTTTTTCAATACAATGTATAAAGATTTCAAAATAAATTTTAGAATATAGTATTGAAAAAGAATAATTAGTGTTAATATAATAAATATAAATGGTATATATTAATTGATAATGATTTATTTTAAATGAAATAAAGTATATTTTTTATTCTTTCTTCATTAGTATTCTTTTATATTGTTCATAATTACTATTATCTTCTTTTTCTTTAAAAAATAAAATGAAATGATAAACAATTCATTTATTAATGTTGTTATTATCTTTTTATTTTTATTATTTCATTTTTATGAATGATTTGATATTTGTTACTTTAGAAATAACAGTTTCATCATATAATATAATTGTTTATTCGTTATTTTAAATGAATATATTATATTATTTTGATTATTCATTACAATAAATAAAACAATAATGGGTAAATAAATTTCATTTAAATTAAGTGAAATAGAATAGAATGATAAATGTAATTTTTAATTGAATAAGTGTTTCATTATATTGACAAATATGTTTATGAATTATGAAAATATGAAAACAAGAAAGAATCAAAATAAACAAAGATAAGAAGTATTGAAATTGAAATAAAATATTATCATTCAAAATATTAAATATCAAATTAAAATGATTATAAAAAGATACTATTCTACAAATAAAAATATTAAACATTAGTTATTTTCAAACTACTTCTTACTTCATTTCTATCTTTGATTTTCTCATTGTATTTCTTTAATCTTAAAAATAAAATTATTCTAATTGTAATAAAACTGTTCTGTTAGTTAAATCATTAATATAACTCCCATCACAATAAAAGAGAAAACAGATAATGGTGCACTGTCTATGTTATGTGTTGATGCATCTTCTGAATCACTTTTAGAATTTCCATCGGATTGTGCATTGAAACTATTTTCTGAGTGTCCCTTTGTTCCATCTTCAGAGTGATTCATTGACTTTTCATCTGTTTGATTCTTAGAATCATCATCTTTGCTCTTAGATCCTTCTGAATTATGTTTTGAAGTATCTTCTGTTTGACTATTATTATTAGAACTGCTTTCGGTATTCTTAGTTCCTTCTGATTTGTCATTTTGTTTTTCATCTGGTTGATCATTTGGTTTTTCATTTGGTTGATTATCAGAACTATTTTCTTGATTCATAGTCTTATTCCCACATTTATACATAGTTCCATTTTCACATAATCCACATTTCCACATTTCTTCTCCAAATTCTTTTCCTGTTTCATCACATTGATTATTAGAATAAACATTTGAATACATAACTCCATTCTCTTCTTTGTATTTACAGTACGTCTCCCCAATTTCACTACATTTACCACATACACCGGTGACATATGTCAAATACATATTGTTTCGATGTGAACATGTATCATCATCAATACCAAAACTAAAAGTTCCTACATAATCTGGTATTTCTTTAATTTCAATAGTACATGTGTCTTTGTTAATACAAAACCTTTTAATCTCTTTATCATTTATATCAACCGTTTTTTCTTCTTTATCTCCACTACATGTAGTTGTATTATAATGTGAAATTGTAATATTATTCCCATTATGAGTATAGTAATATGATGTTACTGTGCCTGTGTAATAACATTTCCCAAATTCAATACTTGTAAATATACGAGTATTTCCTTCAAGATTTTTTATTAGAGAAATAACTATTGATTCTGACATTACAATACCAGTTAATAAACAAATAAATATTATATTCATTAATTGTATTTCTCATTTATCTGTTTCGTTTAAATATTATCGTTCTTTCTTCTTACTTTCTCTATTTTTATTATTTGTATTTATTATTCTTCATGTTTTTATTGACATTTTCTTTGGTAGTTATTCTATGTATTTGAAAGAACCATTGATTTTGTTTTCTATTTTATTAAAATTATTCACTCGTATTTCTATTCTTTTTAATTTCATTTTGTCTTTCTTGACAGTTTATTATTCTTTTTATCAACTCTTATTGTTTTACTCTTTCATTAGTTTCATTCTTAATTTCTTTTCTTCATTTAGATTCATCAACCTCTGTTTTAAAACTACTCATCATCATATTTGATTAATTAAATTATCATATTTCATGTAATTTATTAGGTATTGGATTGTTTTATATATTTACATAATACAATAAATATTCAATTTATCTATTTTGTTTTGAGTTATTTGAAGTATTTGAAGTATCATAATGAAAAGATGTTAATAAAATATTTATTTTAATCAACTTCTGTTTCTCTAAAATAATATTGTTTTAAACAATGTAATAAGAATTATCAAATATTGTCCATTTCCATTGTGTTATATTCTGTTGGTATTTTAATAAAATTGTTGAAATATTGTGTAATAATTGTATGTTTATTACTATATTTTATTGTTATGTTTGAGAATATTTTTAATATGAAATAAAAATATTGAAAATATAAATTAAAATAATAATAAAGCAGAAGAATATTTCAATTAACAATCAAATGATAGATTAAATATAAATATACAATTTCTATTTTTGATTTTATTATCTTTGTAATGATAGTGCATTAATATTTTGTTGTTATTAATTATATTTGTCAACTACATCTGTTTATTCTTGATCCTTTTGTATGCATTTATATTTTATTTATTTTTTCTGTTTTTATTGATTATGTTATTTCATTTATTGATTATTTACTCTTCAACTTCATCTCATATTATTATCTATGAATATTGATTTATAAATCTATCCATTTCTTCTCTTATTATTATCACATTTTATTTCTCTCATTCATTTTGTTTCTTTATTTTCTTCTCTATCTTAATTATTGTAATATTCATTAATCAACTATTTACTATTCATTATCACTCATCTTTTATTCATCATTTCCTTCATATTTCATATTATTCATTTCTTCTTGTTTATGAAAGAGGTTCATTCGTTTCAATTTATTTGTTTTATTCTATTTTCTGTCTATTCGTCATATTGTGTTTTGTTATGACAACCACACAACAAAAAAGAAGAAATGATGGTTAGTGGTGATTTTGTTAGAAATGATGGAAACAACAAATTACAATCTCAAACAAGAGTCAGGAAATATGATGAAATGATAAGTAACTTGAAAACATCATGTTGAACGATAAGAAGATAGAAAGAGTAAGGCAACGAAAAAAAGCAAATAATTGAAAAAGAAGAGAATGAATGATATAAAAGAATAAAAAGAAAGTAAGAAGTAGAATATGATGAAGAAAGAATAAAAGGAGAAAGGAGAGAATATAAAAAGAAAGAAGATAAAGTGTAATAAAAGAAAAGAGATGATAAAAGAAGAAAAGAATGAAAAAAATAAAGGATGCAAATTTTATTGAAACAAATAAAAAAAGCGCAAAAATTAATGATGCAAAATATTTAGCAACATATTTTATTGATGCAAAATATTTTGAAATAAAAATAATTCATCATTTGATATTAATATTATATTTGATAATAATTTATATTATATATTAAATACATCATATTTCTTTATTATTTATCTTTCTTTTTATTATTTCATATATTAAATTATTATTCATTCATTTATTATTTATATTTCATTTATTAAATAAAATGAAAATGAAAATGTAAAATATCAATCAATTAAATATTCATGAATAATAATTTATTAATATTTAAATAATTTAAATAATAAATAATAAAGTAACAATAATGATATATTCAATATATTCTTTATTTGATTTGTTCAATATTAGTTTATTCTATTTCATTATTTTATTTCATTGTCTTCATTATTTTATTTCATTATTTCATATTCATTTATTATTTTTTAAAATCAAATAAACAATAATATTGATATTCATTCATCATATTCATTTAATATAATAAATATACACAACATTTCAGAATAAATAATGAATATTTAACATTGAAAATATTGATTTATTCAATATTTTGTTCAAAACGAATTCAATAAAACATATATTTTGATAATACACAAATGAAATAATAATGAAATATACAATACTCAAGAATTAATAAAAAAGAAATAAAAAGAAAGAATAAATGAATATAAAATTGATAAATAATAGAAGAAAGAAATAGAAACAACAATGAAAAACAAATAATATAAAAAGAATATAAATATATAAAAGAATAAAAAGAAAGTAGAAGAAGAATATAAAAATAATAAATCACAAAGAGATGATAAAAGAAGAAAAGAATGAAAATGGTGTATTTTTAATGTAAAAATTAGAAATATTCAATAATAAGTGTCTAATTTAATTGTGTAAAATGATTAACAATATTTTATTAATGAACAATATTTTACTCTGTTTTATGTTTATTATTTATGTGTATAATTTCATTATGATGTTTATTATATAATCAATCATATG